ATTTACTGTGTTTCTACATTGACAAAGTGCAATATACCGTCGCTACAGTATCTCGTCCATTTTTTCCTCTCCATTGCATATATTTATTTATTATTACAAGCATCCTAGAGTATTGCCAAATTTTGACAAATATTCACTCTACATGCGTGTAATCCATTTCCAAATCGTCATTTATTAACAGAAGCAACATGCTTCGAATTCAAAAACTAAGCGGCGAACCACGTCCGCACATTGCGTTTCCAACACATCAACGTGCTCCGGAAAAATTCGTTAGATCGTAACGACAGTAACCCCATATTAACTGTCATTATTAGCGCCTGTCATAGAGAAAATCTCGTCGGAGAAAATCTTGCCAGAGAAAATCTCGTTGGAGAATTGAACGATGACGCCAAAAGGCAAATCAACGATCAGCCGAGTCTCAAATCCATTTGGTGAAGCAGCGCTATCGATAAAGTCGATCATCGTGCATGTACGTACCGAGTGAATTTGCGAGTGAAAGCACAACTTCAAAAGTTGCGCTTGCGAGGAGAGGGAGAAACGGCGCGTGACTCGTCCTTATCCACAGCTGTTCGGTATCGGTCAGCAGCGTTTAGCGCTGAATTCAGTCGCGAGCGCGCGCGCGAGCCGCGCAGAATTCCTAATAAGCGCCCGGCAATTCCGACTAGAAACGCACGCGCTCGGTCACTCTCTCTCTCTCTCTCTCTCTCTCTCTCTCTCTCTGTCGTACTCTTGCGCGCGCGTGTGTGCGCATCTCGCGGGCGGTTAGAGGCTCGAGGGGCCGTGACGTCACGGAGCGGACGTGCCGTGATTCCCCTCTCCGAAGCAGCTGGGTCACGCGCAGCCGTGGAGGACGTGAGCCGGGCGCCTCCGAACCGATCTCGAGGCGGAGGCGCCGTCGGGGACCCTCGCCGACTCCCCGACCCGACGCACGCACGGACCTCACGCCCGCGAATTCGGAATTGAGCTCACGTCGCGCTTCCGGCCGCGAATTTTCCAAACGCCGGTCAGCGAAGCCGCGGGCCACGTCGTCGGAGGCATACCCGCCGCGTCCCGAGGCGTGACTCCGCGGCGAGATCCGGGATTCAGGGTCGCCGGCTGCGGCTCTCGCGTAACCGCGTAAACGCGCAACCACGCGCTCTCGCTTGCTTGCCGACGAGCCGCGAGTCGCGCTCAAATGGGCGGGACGTGACGTGCGCCGCGCCGGGAGACCCAGCACGACTAGACTGGAATCCTAAGAGCCGGCGGGTGTCGTCCCAGGGTGCGCGCTGCGTTCGATGATCGCCAATTCCTTATAAAACTCTAACGCTCGGCTGGGAAAACGGGAAAACGAGGTGTAGTGTTGGAAAATTGGGTTAAAGTAGCCTAGGAACGTGCAGCCGATAATGCCTGCCATCTTCGTTATTCGGATCCACATGGTCGCCCACTGTGGCGTCGCTTTATTTGCGCTTACCGTCGGATAGTTCTGGGCTTGCGTCGTCAAGTCAATGGGCTTCCAAAAATCAGATGGCAGCTACGTTAGAGTTGGAATTGTTTGGAAATGTTACGTTGTTCATTGAATAGATAATTTGTTGAGGTGTAAATTTTAATCTATATAGGCCTGTGTGATGTGATGAATATAAGTTTATGGATTGTTAGATAATTTAATCTATAGATAAAATGGCTAGGCGGTTGCAATTGTAAATCTCAAATACAGTATCATTAGTCCAGTGGTGGTTAAGTAATATAAGAATACATTTGTCTTTTTTCTTTTTTGTTAATATTTCAAAGTATTGATTGGATGGGCGTAATGTAAACGATGTTTCTATGCGAATGAGATCATTGCTATTAAACACAAATGGATAATTAGATTATTATATCAAAAAATGTTTCGCTTGTATAATGGTTTATTCTTAAATTTGATCATAAATTACAAACAAATTAACATCCATTGCCATTTGTATGGAGCTGCAAACTTTCTCTACGTCTAATGTGAAAATTGTTTTAAAATACGCGCTGTACTATGTTTGGATCTGGTTAAGTCTCTAGTGGGTTTTTTTTTTTTTTTTTTTTTTTTTTTTTTTTTTTTAAGAGTAAGAGTCGCCTCTCATAGCGACACTTAACGACAATTACTATTACGGGAAATTAAATCAACCGGGACGTTTATTTAAGAAGACCGCTTTAATATCGCGCCAACGGACGATTATCTAGTCAGCGCATCATCTTTTCTAATGTTCAGACACATTAAATAGGCCTAAAGCGATGTTATTGTATTCAAAATTTTTAACAGCCTACGTGTCATTGACAATTATAATATAAACCGAAGATTGATGGAGCATTATCAATTGCTCAATGTTCAATTATTTATAGCCATAGATGGCGCACGAAGAAATGACATTTATTGAAATACAATATATGAGTGATAAATCAATCATAAATATAATTGTCCTTTTATGAAGAATCAATATACTAAACAGGCATTTATGTGCTAAAGTATATATGTCATGCTTTTTGCTGAAATTGCTTGCTCCACCATTAAAATTTGGTTATCGAAATATTCAGGCAGATAATTACAAGTATTTTATTACATTTTGTCTCGCGTTGAGTCGTACTAGAGAGCTGAGTGAAATCTTAGTCAACAAACTGACAACATTACCAACCACCATTATTAAAGTGATTTCTATAACACGTAACCCACTAATCAAACCTGATGAAACTTCAATCTCCGCATTCACGCGTACTTTTTATACAAACTCTGTAATTTCCTCACACCTCGCTAAAAACTGCCAATTCTCACGCGTTTGGATTTTACCAACCAGACTTTGACTTTAGATTAAGATTCTTCGTCATATTGTCTAGCTGACAAACAAATGAGCGCCATGTTTATATGAATAATTTCACATTATCTTTGAATTACGATGAATTACGATGAAACAATGTGTTTCGAATAAATCATCTTCGAACGATCCGACATCATTTAAGCGCCGTGCAAACATCTTTATAATGAAACAATTTTTTAACTCCGAATTTTGGAAGTTTTAATTGATTTACTCGAAGCTATTAATGAATAATAAACGCATGAATGATTATAATTGCACCACTCGACAATTCGTAATAGCGTTTCCCTAATACACGACCCTTGTTACATTTATATAATGGTCCTGTCGCTTATAAAAATAATCTAATTTTCACAAGCATTAAATAATGTATTTACATAATCGCGTCGGTTTTACTTTTGCATAGGCTTACAGCAGTTGCCAAATTTTATAATAAAAAGCGTAACTTTAGCCAAGAAAGTAGTTAAGTAAACTGACACTTGCACAGACGTAATCGTGAAACATTGGAACATATCGCTTGGCTGATTTTACGCGAATCGCCGAAAGAAAAATATGCTAAAAAAAATTGTTACGAGACACATAGGCACGCGCTCTTGCAATAAAAACGAGAACTGAAATTGTTTGCGGATGTTAATGTAGGAATAAACATAAATTTACGCTTTTAAAGCTGATAAAGTTTTCAATTGCGTCGACTTCCCATTGCGAATTGCATTAAAAAATGTTTTAAATTGCTTAGAAAATATTACGTAATCACAAACTCCTTGAAATTACGATAAATATTCGAAATATTGTTTTCAAATTATTTGTCAAATTTTATTTACATAACGAGCTTTTCTTATAACTGTAAAATAGATAAAGGACGTCCTTTTTATCGAGTATTAACATTCACGTGCACATGTATTTATTCTTATCATGGAACATTAATTTTTTATATTGAATAAGTGCACATGTTAGACATAACTAAAAAATAATATCATTACATAATAATTAATATTTACGTATTTAGAGCAACTATATGCAAGGATTCACGAAATACGAAATACTAAGATAATTACGGTCAGTTATATTATGAAATTACAATCAGATATTAATTACAATCGATGAAATTTGTTTATTTATTTAAAGCGATAATCGTATAAAGTTCTATGGTATTTTAATATAAAATTTACGCATGAAAATATTTTCGAGACAGTATTTCTCATGGCTATGAGGCTTTAATCCAGTTTCAGCGCAATTGCTCGCGCGAGATTGCAAGAAAGAAAGTCGGGCGGGCTAGATCTGCGGAGTGGCGGCTCGACGAAATTGCTTATTAAGACTTTTTGGAAAAGGTCGATGATTCAGGGTCCCAGAGATACGGAACGAAAGAGCAAAAGATTCGCCTCTCTCGCTTTTTCTTCCCCCTCCCCCAAATCTCTCTCACTCTCTCACTCTCTCTCTCTCTCTCTCTCTCTCTCTCTCTCTCTCTCTCTCTCTCTCTCTCGCTCGACTGTTTCTCTTCGCTTCGTAATGTCGAGAAAGGTTGGTCGGAAATTATCCTTATATCTGCCTACTAAACAACCAAAACCGACGGTTGATTATGCCCATCCATAGGTATAACTACATACGTAACTGCCCATCAACCCACCTCCTACCGAATCAAAATAATCGGCGCGCATAATCCTTCATTTCTTCGCTTAATCTTCATTTTTCTTCTCCATTTTCTCACTTTTGTTTCTTATGTTTATTAGAGAGATGCAAAAGTCACCCGTTCTCGAACTAATTTCAAAAAATCGAATTACTCCTTTCCCTGCCCACTCAATATTTGTGTAAATTATCCTAAACTTTATTTAATTGAAGCTTATGTTATTATTACATTTAAATAGCTCGTATTTATTATTATATTGGGAGAATATTTAGCTTTTAATTAAACGAGAAATGAAATTTGTGTTGGCAAGATATTGAAATAATCCATTCAAATTTTCAAATACAATATCGTGATTTATTAAAGATTAAGATTCTTATTAACTAATAATCTCCCATTAAACGAATCATTAACAAGTCACCTCTGCTTACTAATAATTATAAAAGCCATCAATAACAATAATATTGTAATTATACGCTACAGCATAACAATATGCAAATTCGCCTTATTTAATACACATTTTATTAGGATTGTAGTGATGACAAAGCGTATTTATTATGTTACAGATATGACGAGAGGCACTACGCTTTTGAAAGGTACAGTTAACATACCAACAACAGTTATTATTTCTTTAATTTATTAAGCATCACGTATATTGATAAAAATTTTCTTTTATTATTTAAGAGAAGAGGAAGGAAAATTAGATAAATAAAAGTCATAGTTTATAAAGAAAACAATGTATTTAGAATTTATAATATGAGAAATTAATTTTAATAATATTAATGATTAATAATATTTTAAATGACGTATCGTTATTGTTTGATTAAACAATCGCGATACTCAATCAAATATATTACGTATTATCTTCAATAATAAAAATAATAAAATGAAATTTTTATTTGCTATCATAAATAATTAATATTGTTATTATAAAAATTTTATTTCAAGATATATATGCAAATTAAAGTCTAAAATAATTATATTTTGAGTGAAAATTTAATTATAAATCTGGATATGCAACATCGCGTAAATTGTAATTTAAGTTTTATCTCAATCGCTTTTCTAAAACATTCACATACGAGGGAATTAATTTATAAAATGCCATTTTCTACAATTAAATCGTTAATTGTCGTATTATTTTGATTTATATTTTTGTTAAATGTAACTACCTATTATATAGTGAGTAAAGGAAATGAAAAGAGAAATGGAAATCAATGGAATTTTAACCGCTTTTTAAAATTAATTTTTATATAATTAATAAAAATGTGCTGTTAAATATAAATTTAACTGTACCCGAGACTGTTATTATTGAGTTTGAAGTGCTCTAGTCGATAACATAACATTACTTTAACTCTATATCCACCTTTTATAATTGTAACTTATGCAAAATATATCTTTAGACAGAAATATCAATGAAAAATACATTTACAGTACTCGGTCGAACGTCGAATGCACTGTCGCGCAATATATTATGATAGGGTCGAAAGTCTTATAGAGTGGAGAATGAGCTGCAGCTTAAGAGAAAGAGGCAGCTCGCTCTTTCTCTTTCCCTCCCCTCATTCTGGACTTAATAATTATTCGCATCAAGACAATTAACTTTTTTTTAACGGAGGTGGGCCCAGAATACGCTTTCGCTTGTTCGCTACTCTATGATTTCGCAGCGAGTATCGCAAAAATAATAACGCTCACCCTCCCTCCTAAACATACATACATACGCGCATGCATATATCTTTATATATCTATCTATCTATCTATCTATATATATATATATATATATATATATATATATATATTATTACGTGGGTGTGGGAATGCGCGCGAGGGCGCGTTTGCGCATGTATGCGTTGATACGTGGGTGGATGGATGCGGGTGGTGGGAGGGTGCGAGAGTAGTTGTGCGGATCCACTATTTTGATATAAAACGGCAAAAAAAATCTATGAAGGGTGATTTGGCATCGCGCAAGCAATTAGTCCTTCAGATTAATCTTGCAAAACGTATTTTTCGAAGATAAAGTTCCTTTTTGTATTCTCACGAAAGTAGATAAAACTTTCAATTATATTTAAGACAATTTGGATAATCGGTGCTTTTAATACTTGATTTTAATACACCTAGTATTGTTTTCAGTAATAATTTCTTGAAAATATTTCAAAATTCATGTGATAGAAACCAATTAAATTATTAAACCAATTAAATTATTAATTAAAAATTAAACGATGAATTATATGAATTTTAAGTAAATTAATGATATTATTTCAAGATATGTATTATAAAAAGAAAAAAGAAAGTACAAATTTTTACCGTTATTCCAGTATAATGATTATTATAATATATGTTATAAAGATTAATCAATGTAAGAGATCTTTTCAACAATTTCATTTTCTCGATACAATAATGATAAATAATTTAAGGTCCGTAAGTGTAAATAATACTCTTAATAATACATTGAAGTAAATTTTCAATAAAAGAAACGCCGACACTGGACATAAAATACTTAAATTAGCTGCTATTTAAAAATAATTTATATAATACATTAAACTAATCTAATAAAAAAAAAAAAATAAAAAAATAATAATAATAATAATAATAATAATAATAATAAACGGAACAAATGAAACCATAAATTGTAAAATGCATTCAACAAGAACAAGATAAGTCGGCATTGAAAATGAAGCGCTAGGATGGCCATCCTTAAACTCTTAAAATTCACCAAGAGAGCTATAACATCCAAATGGAAATTCCGAGTTCCGGAGTTTCTTGCGTCGGCGCCATGAAATATCTCCGTGGCGTGAAAGCAGGAATTAATCGAGATCGTAGGACGCGCAACAACGAGGTGAAAATCGACGTGCGTCAGTCCGCTGAAACCCGCAATGGTAAAGCGCCTGTCGCGTTTCGCGCGCGACCTCCGCCATTATCATACAAATAATGATCGTCCATCATGCACAATTATGTAAAAAGGGGCGAGCAATGGCGGGGTTGGAGGGGACGAGAAGCACCAGGATTTTCGAGCTGAGCACAACACTCGCAGACAAAACGGTATCCTGATGCTGCATTATAATAGGTCGAAGAAACGAATACTTTTGTTTTCAAAATGAGCACAGCGGGGTCCCTTGCACCACCGCCTTTTGTGGGCTGGGGTTGCGCCTCTCGTTTTATCTACTCTTCCCCCGCCCTTCTGTCGCTCACTCGCTCTTACTGCTCTCTTTCTTTCGTCTGCGGCCTTATTTTGTGCGAGCCTCCTGAGTCTCGGTTCAAAGACCCAAAAACGAACACCTCTCCCTCTTACTTTCATTCCGTCCTTTTTTTTTTCCTTTTTTGTCCGTTCGTTCGGTGGGGAAACTCTGCATTTCTTATAAAGATCTTTGCCTACCTTCATATTCTTTTTAATATTTATAGTGGAGAACGCTTTACATAAATTTTACGGAGAGGAGGCTGCAACTAGATTATTCATAGTACTCGGACTATTGTTTAACAACAAAAATATTACCGTTATTTTTAATTAACGCGTAATTAGGAATTCCAGGTAAAAATTGTATGTTTTAAATAAGTAATACTTAACAGCAAATAAAAAAACAGCTTTCATCCCTCGTTACTCGTGTAAAAAATATTTAATTTTATAACGACATTATATGAAATAAATAATATTAATAGCCACATAAAATATATTGGTGTTAATCATTATGGTAATAGAGCTATTTCAATGGTAATGAAATAATTCGGTTACGGAATATTAAACAAATATATTTTAATCGAAATATGCATTCTATTTTACATACATTTTTCTGTAAAACATTGTATTTATAGCGAATAAAGCTATCGTTAATCAAGTAAAAAAAAAAAAAAAATTGTTTCGCGATTCGCAAAATTATATATTGATGTTCGACAATAATGTACGAATAAAAAAAGGGAATATTTAAAAAAATTTATAAATGATAGTGCTTTGAAGTAAGAATTAAATTGTATGATAAAATTTTCTAGAAATCAATGAGCAATTTCAAAATGTTAAAGTAGAATCTTTCTTTGAAAACTACTTAATCATACACATATTTAATTATAATATGGATAATAATAATAATATTATTTCTTAAATTTATATATATATATATATATATATATATATATTTATTCTACAATAATGGAATGAGAACAACAACTTACGTAATAAAATTGTCTTGCTCTTTTACAATATTGCATTTTATATAATTTTCATAATGTCATAATCATTTTTCAAAACTATAAATATATATCGTACCAAGTAGCTACAGATTATCAATTGGTTAAATAAATGAATAAATAATTAATGCATTAAAATTTTAACAATATACTTGATAATCACGTCTTATACATGAATCATTAAAATGTAAACCAATGCAATGGTTTTACATTTCTATCGATATTTTTAATTATATTGCCACTTCTTGTCGACAATGAAAAATTTATAAAAAAATTTTCATTCTATTATATATTCTTAAATTTGAAATTTATGGAAATGTTTATATAAAATCTTCGATGGTATTCAAATAATTTAATTTTCCATGAAAAAAAATTCATTGAGAAAATATATTGTTTTGCTAAATTCAAAAATATAATATTGCATTATTGTTTTTACTTCAACATTTAATGAATCGGCAATATCTTATCAACTTTTATCAAATTAATTAAAAATGATGACGATAAATCTACTACGCGTAAACATAAAGTAATATAATAAAAATTACCAATATTTAAAAAAAAACAAAAAAACAAAAAAAAAAAAAGACCCTAATATGTCGTAAACATTTTTAGCCGATAAATACGTCTTTTAATCAATTAAAAGCCCTCGTTCAGCAGAGTAATAATTTCATGTATACTATAATTTTTACTTCATCCCTGTAAATTTACTTTCTTTCCTATAATGTTTATTTATGTTGGTTAATTTAATTTTTAATAGTCGCTAATTGAAGCGAGCTGCATTCATTAGGAATATTATTTGACAACAATGATCTAATTGAACTTTAAACACACCAAACGGTACTTTATCGCTACAAGTTTTCTATACAAAACAATCTATTCAACTGACGGAAGGAGAAATAATTGAAATCCAAAAAATTAATAGTCAAATTGGAATATAGTCAACTCACCAGTAATAAATGTCTTCAATTTTAACACTAGAACAACATGAAACATGTTGAAATCATCTTAATTTAGTAACAATGGCAGTGTATTCTGTAGGCATTGAAAAGGAAAAACATTTCGGGAAAATAAAAATTTCTCTAAATTTGATTGGGCGCAATATTCGCCTCTCAATGCTCTCGTCTCTCATTGTGCGTCGGGTTGTCCATCTCGGCGCCCTCCTTCATCTCTTTTTATAACGCGGGCGCGCGCTCGCATCGCAAAATTCCCCGAATGCAAATTATAAGAGAGAGCGAGAGAGAGAGAGAGAGAGAGAGAGAGAGGAGAAGAGAGCGTGCGCCGGGAAAAGAGATGCTGCCACTGATCGAGCGGCTCGAGTAACTGCAGCGCCTCGGGTAAGTGCGCGAGGCTTTTGCAGCCCACGAGCTTTTAGAACACAGTAGTCCTCCGCTCTCAATTTTCTGCGACGAAAGAGGGAATAAGAAGA